AGGATCTGATCCTCCTCTGAAAGTCGCTTGTGTTTCCTGAGTCCTGGCTATTATGCAGTTTTAATTTACTTCTCCAGAAAACGAGGAAAGCAGTCGGGCCGCCATCCTGGCCTGGTTCTGCAGTGTCTCCTTGTATCCTCACTGAAGGGGTTAGTACCCCTCCCCACAGACCGGGAAGTGGGCCCAGTGGGAGATGCCCGCAGAGACGGGGCAGTGGGCCGAAGACAGGAGCCCAGGCTCTTCAGACTCGAAAGCAGCCCCCTCACCTGACAGCCCCTCCCCACTTCCAGTCTCAGTTTAAATGACTCAGCTTTCCCTCTTGAGAGGACCCTGGCCGGGCCATTCAGCGTTCAGACGGTCGCGCTCTCCTGGCTGCTGGGTTAGTTCCTTCACCTCAGTGTGGCGGTTTCCTAGCTTGTGAAGCAGGAGTGAGGTCGTGTCCTCACTGCAGGGCTGCCGTGGGCACAGAGCAGTGCCCCAGAGTTAGTGTCTGTTAACACCGGGGAGTCTGTTTCTTCCACAGCAGAAGGGTCCAGGGTAGGTTCTGTTCACGGGGAGGCCTTGGCCTTGGGTCTCAGAGAGGCTGTGTGCTAGCCTGGCTCCCCTGGCCCCTCCCGCTGTGCTGAGGGAAAACCGTGTACTGGCTCATTGTCTTCAAGTGTCAAACGGGAAGTGAGACTAAATGAGTGCTGTTTAGTGTCCCAGAGCATTCGGGAACGCATTTGTTCCTTTGGGATGCTGAGTGTGGTAAATGCCTTTACCTGCTGGCATCTGCGGAAAGCTTTCAGAAGTGTGAAGTGTAGCTGTCGGGAGGCACTGCCACCTGCAGACCCACTTACCAAACTCGAGAGGTAATTGTCTTCACGACTCTAGGGACAATAAATAAGAAGACAGACTCGGTGCTTAAAAACGTGTTTAATAAAGCATGATGTGCCGTCCGTGCCGTCCAGCACCGAGGCCCTGTTGTGTCTCTGCTCAGAGCTGCAGAGCGCGGTCCTGGGTAGGCCCTGCAGGGGAAGCATGGATCTCCATAAAGCCCTCGTCCCTGAAAATGTCACTGCACAGTGCTGCCTCTGGTGTCAGAGAACATTCGGGAGCAACAGATATACAGAACCTGTGTATGCAGGAGCCTCTGATGCTGACAGCCGGCCATCACGAGCAGAGCTTTCTCTGTGCCCAGGGGCCACACTGAGTGGCCAGGGTGCCAGCCTCCCAGGAGGGGAGGACTGGGTGATGTCACCCATGGAAAGTGCTCGGGCATTGTTCCATAGGTGAAGGCTGTTCTATTAAGCCCTGTGTGTTTGTGTATGTGTACATACATACACACATACATATTTTTAATAGACTTTTTTAGGTAACTTTCAGACTTAGAGAAAAATTGTGAAGACGACACAGGGAGTCCTCATAGCCTGCACCCAGGCTCCCGCTTATTAACATCTTCCGTTAGTCTGGTGCATTTGTTACTATCGGTGCACTAGTATCGACCCAATATCACACTGATATTATAGAAATATAACGTGGAGCCAGTAGTGTTATGACTAATGAGCTAGCACTGCTTAACTCAAGGCCACCCTTTATTCAGATTTCCTGAGTTTCTCCCTGTTCCAGGATCCCATCCAGGGTCCTGTCCAGGAGCCACATTGCATATCATTGTCATGCCTCCTCTTGGCTTTGACACTTTCTGTCGCTTTTTTTTTTATTATTATTATTGTAGTGGCCTCCTTGTCCCTCCTTCATCATTACCACCTTATTCTGATTCCAGTTCATGGCTTAATGCCTCCCTCGTTTGTCCACAAGGAGGGGCGACTGTCTCCATCCGGAGGCTGCGGGTCACTGTGTCAGAGCCGTGACAGGCGTGGGGCTCAGGCACCTGATGTGAGAGTGGTTTCCGTGCCGTCACTCAGACTCCCCGAGACCGTGTGACAGTCTGTGTGGCGGGCTCCTAGTCACGGAGTCATCGCTGGCAGGTGGCCAGACTGCCCTGCAGGGGAGGTGGAGGCCCCGAGGTGCACAGGTTGGAGAGTGGACGTTTTTGAAACATGGTTTTGTTGTTACAGAGCCCTTTGGAAGTGAGCAGTTTCACCGTCTCTGCTCTCAGCAGGAATCATTGTAACCTAGCTTTCAAGTGGGTCACAGTGAATACATATAAAACCCTTTAACTGAGCTTTGGAGCAGTCAGATTGGGAACTGACCATGCTTTTCAGATCATTTCACGTAGCTGATTCCAAAGAACATGCAAAGTGTGCACACAGACCTTTTCTGAGCCTGGCCCTGCTAGTCAGTCTGAAGGGGTTCTTGGATATCTCTTCCATCATTTCTAGAAAGAGTTCAGAAAGATCCTTTGTTAATAGTACAGAACGTTCTCATGAGACTTGGATGGTACCGAAAAAGAAGAGTCCTCTGAAGATGGTTTTTCGGATGGGCAGGGAGAAGGAGATGGCTGTGAGCCTTGCAGTGTATAAAACAGGGCTGTGCCGGACACTGGGGAGGCGTCCCGCGAGCTGAATGACACCCTTGTGCTTGTAAGTAGGGCTCCAGAGCCAGGCAGACCTGGGGGGTCCTGTTCCACCACCTGCCAGCCTTGGCCCCTGCGTCTGGTGACTGCCCTCCGCTCCTCAGTCTCCTGACCTGTGACGAGCCTGGGTTGGGAATGGATGGCCCAGCTCCGGGGAGGCACTGAGACCCCACGGAAGTACGTGCTCAGGACCAGGGCACCTGTGGGGTAGGAGCATTCAGCCTGCGGTGGTGGCAGAGAGCAGACCGACCTTCAGCTGGCCTGTGTTACCGTGTCCAACCCCCGTTGACCCCGCACCCCCTCATTGCCCTCCAGGGTGGACTGCTCCACCCTCTCCTGCACCCAGACGCTTGGGGGGCCTCAGTCTGTAAGTGTGGGTGTTAAAACCGTAATACCACTCTCAAAATCAGGAATTGGCACTTGCACATGATTGCCCCCTAATCCTCAGACCCCACGTGTCCTTCGTAGCTAAAGGATCCGGTGGTGAGCCACCTGTAACGTCTCCTTGTCACATCTCTTAGTGTCCCTCAGCCCTGAGCTTCTCCTTGGTCCTTCCTTGACTAGTGTGACCTGACCCTTTGGGAGGTCTCAGGCCTGTTGCTTTGGAGAAGGCCCCTCACTTTGGGTTTGTCCTCACCGCTGTATTCTGGTTACACGTCTCCGGCAGGAGTGTCCTGGGAGCGCTGCCCTGCCCTCCTCACGCCATCCCATCAGTCGACACACGGTTGTAAGTTGTCTGTTACATACGGTGTTCACCGTGACCCCTCGGTTACAGCGGTGTCTGCCAGGCTTCTCCGTTGTGAAGTGAGTCTTTCCCCCTTAGGATTTAGTAAGTACTTTGTGGGGAGGTACTTTGAAATTCTGTAAATATGCTGTTCCTCGTCCAGTTTTACTCATTTGTGTCAGTCAGGACTCACGGTTTCCTGCTGAGTGGACTGCACTCCATCACCGTCACTGTTTACATGGATACTCAGATTGCCCCTTGTTTGGCCTCTCCAAGCTGGCTTCTCTGTCCTGTCCTGTCCACATTGTTCTGGACCATCTCCTTATTGTGTTTGGGCCACAGTAGGATGTTGCAGACTCATCTTGTGTTCAATCCCACTGCAGCCCTGGAATCCGCCACGTCTCCACAGAGCCTGGTTCTGACCAGAGGAGAGTGGCGCTTAGAAGTGGAGGTCAGGTGCTAAGCCTGCTTACTGCTTTTGGGCCATTGCTGTTCCCAGGCTCCATCGGTGGATGGGGGTCGGGGGAGGAACGTGAGTGAGTGTGTACTGTCTGTGTGTTGAAAACTGTATTCTCATTGGTCCCCCAGTTCCAATCCAGTGCCACAGGGTTAATGCAAGTGTTCTCCTTCTCCATATTTGTAACCCCTTCTCCCAAATGAGGAACTCTCATTGTCCTGAATGTGTGGCTTTTTAGACGAAATTCCCCTGGAGGTCGCCAGTCTCCCACCCAGGAGGCTGCCCATAGCAGGGGCGCCCCGGACCCTTCAGTCTGGGACTCCTTGCAGGGGCACGCTCCCCACACCCTGGACCACTGCCATCTCACCTGAGATGCCAGCCCTGGGACTGAGATGCTGGGGAAGGAGGAGGATGAGGGCTCGGTCTGTTCTCACGGAGAACTACACACTCGCCCTGGGCCTTCCTGGAGGCCTCGCTCCTGCTCTTCCCGGCACTGTTCCTTCCTCTCCAGCCTGTCCGCTCCTCCCTCCGCCCCCAGCAGCAGACCTCTCGCCAGCAGTTCCTTGAACAGTACCGGGGCCCTAACAGACCTGTTTATTTTATTTGAGGAACCCATTTGCAGCCTCTCATTTATCAAGAGTCAGAGTAATTTTCAGAGTATTTTAGACACCCACTTACACTTAACTCTCAGCTCTTTAAAATGCCAGCTGCTTTATAGCCATTATAGTTATTGTTTCCTTTTTCTCAGAAAATGTGTACTCTGAAGTACAAAAAAAATTTATAAGTGCAGAATTACTGATAAGGAGAAACACAGGAAGAGACATTAACTCATGTTTGTTTGGAACATACCCTTTTCACTTGCTCTTGGGGAATTATCACAAAGTGGTGTATCATACTGAAACACACAAAACTGGAACTCTCCACTCTGCCATAAAACCGGGAGAAAAAGTGAAGCGGGCATTTGTGGCTATGAGCCGCCTTCTGGCCGTGCAGCAGCAAAGAGCTGGAAGCCCTTTGTGAGTCACAGGACAGCCAGCAGCTGCCTGCAGACACCCCATTCCTGCTGCGGACGGAAGGGCTGCTGTGAAGTTCAGAGTTTAACAGCCCAAAACAAGAATGGAAGAGGCTGCTGATAGAGATGTACTGGATCCTAAAACCATCTCTTCCCAGCCTGTTTTTCCTGTTTGATTGGCAGAGACGGTCAGGAATATCACCCGCAGACTCTTGCCGTATTTCGTGGCTCCCGGCCTGGCCAGTTTGTTTTCTTGTTCACCTTCTGTTTCTCTGAACATTCTCTTCTGCAGAACACATACACCAACGCGGATAAGCTACTAGAAGCAGCAGAACAGCTGGCGCAGACCGGGGAGTGTGACCCAGAAGAGATCTACCAGGCTGCCCACCAGCTTGAGGACCGCATCCAAGATTTCGTCCGGCGAGTGGAGCAGCGGAAGATCCTACTGGACATGTCGGTGTCCTTTCACACCCACGTGAAAGAGGTAAGGCATCCGGAGCCCCCATCTGACAGGGTCTTTGAGCACCTTGGAAGGATGAGGGTGGTCACAATGTCAGAAGTGGACCGGAAGTGGCCAGCGATGACACGTAGCTGGTTCTCGCTGAGTGGGGACTGAGCTGGCCTCCTTGCTGGCCTTCTTCGCCACAGGGACACATTGTGGCCCTCGGATTGGGGAGCAGTGTCTGCCAGAGCGGACCCGTGAGGGTGGAGGCAGCCAGGGAGACTGTGGACCAGGAGGCGACCAGGGAAAGCAGGAGCGGAAGGAGATGTCATCTCCTTGGAGAGAGGCAGGGCGTGTCCACTTAGCGGAGACAGATGACCTGTGCGTTGCGGTCAGAGGTCAGAGCTGTGGGGCTTCCTTTCTGCCTGTTCCCCTGTCACGTGGCCGAGGTCATGGCCATCTTCTGATTTTATCAGGCCGTCTGACTACTTTCAGATACTCACAGAAGTGAGTTCTGCATAATGTTGACTTTAAATGTACCAAAGCCAGCATGGCCTTAGTCGTATTAGTGCTGCTGTCATAGGTGTGTTCCTGCTGGTCAGCTCGTCTCAGAAGAAGAGATAATGTGTTACTTGATAGATGGTAGGTAGGTTGGTACTGATTATACACTGCATATGTGTTACGCTTGGTGAAAATCAGAGAAAATTACAATTGAAGAAACTATCATGTAGCTTTTGAGATAAAAAGGACTTGTAGTAAAAACAATGTTTTTAGTAGGACTACAAATTGATTAAGGATGTCAACTTCATCTTATTTCTAAGGAAAAAAATTCTCCCTTTCACAGCTCTGTATAAATTGGAAATGAGGGGCCTTTTTAGGTAGTTTGGGATTAAGTTCACAAAGGCTGTGGTAACAGGCTGTGAAGAGGGATGGGGAACAGTCAGATCATGGGGCCCACTTGGAGAGGGCTGGGCCTGGCTCAGCTTGTTTACAGGCATCCGAGATCAGGGACCAATGAAATTGTTTAAAGGAAAAGAACTTCACCTCCACGTCCGGGATCTTGGGCAGTCAGTCCTCAGCCAGGCTATTTGTAACTTGAAAGTTTGGCTCCAGGAAAACCAGACTCACTTTCAACTCTGAAACACCACGAGCCCAGGAAGACAGCGTAGGGGGCGTACTTGGCAAACTGCTGGGACCCTGAGCAGCCCTTTCTGCAGAGGGGCTGGTGCTTTGTGGGCCCTGGACAGTTGTCAGAATAGAAAACTGCCAGGACTGGCTTCTTTCCCTGCTTTAATAATGCCAAAACAAAAAAAGACTTCCCAGCGTTTACAAAGAGACTATTTTTTTTCCAAGGAGACACGTTCAGTGGACACTGGTCCACGGCAGTTCTGATCACAGGTGCACGTGGCAGCTTGAGTCAGATCACAACAATGAACCAGTCTGCTGCCTCTGTCAGCTCCCTCCTCCGCCTCCCGCAGCCCTGCAACCAGAAGAGAAATTTGGTTAGGCTCTTCTCTTGCTTTTGAACCGACAGTGATTCTTTGTGTATCTGGAACACCAGCCTGAAGCCCCGAAGCATCCTCGTGGTCTGGCCCATGCAGAGTCAAATGCACTGCTCCCCTTCACTTCCCCAGGCAGTTAGCGGAGCCTCCTGCACTCTCTAGAACTTTCTTTACGCCCACCCCTGTTATAGCACTTGTGGTATAGTTTTGTGTTACCCTCTTCTTCTCACCAGTATTAGTGCACTAACTTTTCTGTATTTTACATGTTTCTACCCTCTAGCTGAGAGGGGAGGAAGATACCAAGTGTGGAAAAGGAGGCTGTGCCTTTGTTAGACTGTGACAGACAGAAAGCCGGGAGGAGCTCTGAGCAGCCCAGACCTTTGGGAGGGAAGCACGGTGGGCGGGGGCTGGAGTTTTGCATTGGGGCAGCAGGGGACGCCATGGACAGGAGGGAGTTCACAGGGCGATGGGGGCAGCAGCAGGCAGGGGCCAGGACTAATCTGATACGTGTCTGTGTGACATGCCTTAGGGACACTCTAACAGGATTTGTGAAGATATAACTTGCATTTAGGACAAAAAAGATTCTTTCCCCAAAGTATTTATAACTTAGATCACCTTTTCAACTTTGGTATGATTTTCAAGAAGTAGGTACTAAAGAAAACTGGACTGAGAGCCTTTTACAAATCTGTTCTCCAGAGACGAAGTTTGGGCTCACTGGTTTTTGTGATATCAGCGGCATTTTTAAGGAAAAACATGGTAAAAGCATTCCAGTTAGTAAACTACAGGGTCTGTTTTGTCACAGTAGGCTTGGAAGTTTATTGAAAAATGAAAATACGTTTTGTTTTCTTGACTTACACTATAGGAACTTCTTGTACGTATGAAGTTTGTAGACTAAGGGAAACTTAAGTCTGTTTTGAAGGCTAAGTGGTTCACCTTTACAATTCGAGAATTTTCAGTACATTCATTCTTTCCTTTATTATATGAAAGACCTTGGCAGTAGCAGAGAAGGTGGTATGTTCACCATGATTTGGTTCCCCTTAAATGTGTGCCCCTAAGGTGACCTGGGCTAGGGAGTGGTTCTGTGACAGCCGGGGAAGGGTGCATAGCAGGACACACACATGCTCGGTGACGGGAAGGGCAGGTGACTGGGGAAGCTGGCTGCACACAGTGTGGAATACTGTCTGACCCTTCCCCAAGATGTGCTTGGACTTCGTTTTTAGCCCCAGCCCTTTTCTCAGTGGATTTATTTTTTTCTGACCAGCTGCAGCATCTTCTTTAGCCTCCTTTCTCTGTGCTACATGAATGCCCTCAAACCTGCAGGGACACTTGGTAGCTTTTATGCAGGAAGGAATGGTTTCTTCATTCATTGTGTTTTGAAACCAGTTATTGAAGGAAAACTCAAATTCGCTTAGAACATATTTCATTATGTATTTTAAAACAAAATTAAAAGTGAGAGAGGGCCAAGAGGAGGAAGTCATGCTAATTAAATGTGTTTGCGTCAAGTCACTAAATATTTTAATATAGCGGATGAATGAAGAATGGCTAAAAGATTTAGGTTATCAGAATTAATTTTTCTCAAGCAGATCATACAATTTAAAATAACACAGAAGGAGGTAGAAAAAGCACCTTGCTTTGTCATTTAGGCAAATATGTGAAGCTTTTTAGAAGTTAACGTTCAGAGGCTCTCCGATGCGGGGCTTACTGCTCGTCACTCCCAGGTGTCCAGCAGTGCTTTTATTTCTCACTTTATCCAGAGCGTAGCTCTCTCTTTTTTGCAGTGAATTTCTGGCCCTCTGAGGAGCAAGTAATACAAAGGCGATCTCATTAACAACCATCTTTGGAAAGGTGCCAGACCAAGGTGATATCTGCTCAGTGTTGGCTCAGGATTCTTTTTAAGAGTCACACCTGAAAGAAGGCTGGTGGTTTTAAGTCTCTTTGCAGACCAGGCACTTAGATTCCACAGGGAGTCCTCGAACTCTAGTCTCTTACCCCCAGAGGACAGAACGGACAGCGCTTGTTCCCCAGGAAAGAGAGAGAAGAGGAGATACAGACCCTTGAACACCCGGGTTTGAACCGTGCAGGTCCACTTCCACGCAGATGTTTTTCAGTAGTAAACCCTGTGGTACCACACGACCCGCAGTTAGTTGAATCTGCAGATGCAGAACCGCAGATGTGGAGGAACCACGGAGGCAGAGGAACTGTGGATGTTCAGGAACCACGGGTGGGAGGGCTGACTGTAAATTATACATGGATTTTCACTTGTACGGAGGGTCAGTGCCTCTAACTCCCAGTTGTTCAAGGATCAGCCGTATTTTCACGTAGATGGCAAATGTTTTATACCTTAAGGCTAAATGCAGAAGGTGGTTGATAGAAGTGTCAGCCTCAATTTCACCATTAAGCCCAGATTTGGAAGCATCCTGGGACCCTTTTCTCAGTATTTTCCTCTGAAAGAAATTCATGAAATGTTTGACCCACTTTCAGAAAGCTTGAGGACTGATCATCTGTCCTTTTTTTAAAAAATGTTTTTAAAGTAGTATTGTAGTATTTAAAAGGAATGTTGATCAACCTAACATAAATCTAATTTTATTTTAAGGGAGTTTTTGTTTTCCACCTCAATCTTTCTCTTCCCTTCAGTATTTTGTAGCTTTTTATTCACATCAGTTCTGATTACACTTCGTCCATCTTTCGGCCTTTGTTATCTGTCCTCCTTTCCTTTTGAATGCATTTTCCACTGTTCATTCATTCATTCATTCTTTCACTCATTCATTCCAGAGTGTCTTCCAAGCCACCTGTAATATACGAGGGAGGTGTTAGGAAAACGAACAACCAGCGGAAAAACATTTCTGCTTTTGTGTGTATCATGCATTTTAGACATGTGTTTGTTTCTCCTAGTGGATGTTAAGTTACTTGAAGACTGGAACCCTGTCTCACTTATCTTTGTCCTCTGCCTCCCAGACTTAGCCTATAGTCAGCTTGTAGAACAAATGATGTCTATTTCTGGCACATCATTCTGAGATTTCATGATAGAGGATGTAGCTCCATTTTCAAATATAGCAAAAGCATGACTATTTTCATCCATTCATACTCCAACTTCATTCTCAAAATTAGGTCCCAAGTTAATTGATAATTACCTTTGAAATGTGCGGATTAGTGCAGGCAACCAGGTGGTGACATTGAATTCTCAGCCAGAGTTTATTTCTGGAGTTGATTCAGCGGCCTTGAGCTGGTTTTTGCTCACTTGATGCCCAGAAGCCGTGGTTTCCCAGGAAAGATCATTCCCATTTGAATCCGGCTGTGATTCTTGCTGGGTTAAGTAAAGAAGCCTTTTGGTTCTGCTTCTGCAAACTTACACACTGAACTGGGACAAGTTTTTGTTTGGGGTAGTGCCTGGGAAAAGAGGAACCTTTCATTTTATTCAGACGTCAAAAAGAAAGGCCTCCAACCATCTGGAGATTTCTGGGTCTCAGCATCCCAAGCTGGCTTCGTTTTCATGCCTAATGGTCAGGCAGGCAGAGCTCTTTCTCTCCACTCTGGCCAGTG